ATTCATATATCAGGGGTATATCAAATATATACCTCGTATATCAACTATATACCCAGTATATATACTGTCCCGATTACATCATAAATAACCTTGGACGTTTAGTTTATTGGATTTTGGAAAATGCAAAGCTGTGATTCAACAACAAATTTATTGAATAAAACTTTATTAAATAGACATATGTTTTTACAAAATACAAACTACGAGTTTAGGGCAACACACCCAACAGCCTTGGCTATGCGTGGTCAGAGGTCGGCGCAACAGTTCGAGGCCTTGGGTACAAAGGTCAAGGGTCGAACATCAAGTGTCGTAGAGAAGTGTCGATGCCATGGGTACAAAGGTCAAGGGTCGATATTGCTCGAAGGAGTAAGTCTTTGAGAAACAGGAAAACAAGCTAGTGAATTGAGTTGTGAGGATGGGTTTGGCATGTAGGTTGCATGTTTAGTTATGTTTATTATATTTTTATTATGTAAAGCATGATGATTTGTTATGCATGTCGTTTGAACTTTCTGTGATAAGCATGTTGTTTGTGCGTGACCCTTCAGATAAGGGCTGCTTACTAGGTACCGTGGTTGTACTCGTCCATTCTTTTTCCCTCCAGGTTTTGTAGGTAACGAGGTCACTCATGGGAATGGTGATGGTGAGAAGGAGACTTGACTAGAAAGACCATATAATGCTGTGTTATATTTCAGTTTCATTTTTATTTAGGATAGTTGTAGTTATTTCATTATATAGTTGAGGTGCTAGTAGTTGGTGCTGTTTAGTTTTCTTGTTTATGTACTCTATTCGAGACCCTAATTGTACGAAGTTCAGATAGTTGGCTAAAAGTTTAGTTTGATTAATTATTGAGTTTGGTTCCTTGTTAAAAGTGAGGTTGTTGGTTCCATAGAGAAATTGTTTAAGCTGGCTTGCTTTGTAATTTGCTAATTTTATGGGATTGAAGTTTGATAAATTCTTTAGTTGATTTGTTCGTATTTAAGCTGTGGTGAATGTTATTAATCAGAGTAGCGGAGTAGAAGCATGATAGTTTACTTGCTTAATCTTGGTTGCTGTGGTCATTTCTCTTCTCAAGTAAATTTTTTTTTAGGTAGGTTTAGTAACGGTCCCTACTTGGGATGTTGAAAATCATGGGACGCTACAAGCATAATCCATAGAGCGTACAACCATGGTTGTATCTGTTGGAAGCGTGTGATGTACACTTGCTATTTAGAATTAACAAGACTCGTTTGAGAATAAACAACTTCACTTGTATTGAAAAATTTCTCATAAAATACACACTTGATTCACAAACTCTCACAAACTCTCTTGTTTTTCTTCTCCACACACTTGCTTGAAATACAACAAGAGATCATCCTATTTATAGGACTCCATGGAAGAATCTAAATCCATAAACTCCATCCTATGAATCTATACATACATGAACACACAATTAGCTTATGTAAATACATGAATGTACTAGTTCATGTACATGTATCATGTACCTAGGAATGTATATGCATAGTGTATCTAGAATAATACATGTCTTCCTCGTAACTCCAAGTAAATTCCTCAACTTGTTAAAGACATCAACTTTGAGTGGTTTTGTGAAGATATCCGCAATTTGATCTTCAGTCTTCACATAACCAACTTGAATTTCTTTTCTTGAAATGCATTCTCTGATGAAGTGAAATCTCGTATCAATGTGCTTACTTTGATCATGGAACACTGGATTCTTTGCTAGAGCAATTGCTGACTTATTGTCTACATGGACCATAGTTGCATCTTCTTGTACAATTCCAATTGCCTTCAACAAATTTCTCAACCAAACTGCATGACACACACATGATGATGTAGCAACATATTCTGCCTCACAAGTAGATAGCATCACAATAGCCTGCTTTTTTTAGAACTCCATGTAAAAGCAGTATTGCCAATAAAGAACATAAACCCATTTGTACTTTTCCGATCATTAAGATCTCCAGCCCAATCACTATCACAATAGCCTTCAAGTTTGAATTCTCCAGATGAAGAATAAAATAATCCATAATCCAGCGTACCTTTTAGATAACGAAGGATTCTCTTTGCTACTTTTAAATGAGTAGTTGTAGGAGATTCCATAAACCGACTCACCAATTCAACACTGAACAGAATATCAGGTCTTGTGCATGTCATATATCTCAAGCTCCCAATTAAGCTTTCAAAATATGAAGGATCAACAACATCTCCATCTTCATATTTTGACAATTTCATTCCAGTTTCGATCGTAGCAACTGGTTTCGAATTGAACATCCTRAATTTCTCAAGAATTTCTATAGTGTATCGTTCTTGAGAGATAAAAATTCCTTCTTCTGATTGATTCACCTTAATGCCAAGATAATATAACATAAGACTAATGTCTGTCATCTCGAATTCTTGAATCATTGCCTTCTTAAATTCGTCAAACATGTTTGGACAATTTCCTGTAAAAATCAAGTCATCAACATATAGACAAACCAACAAAATATCTCGATGATCATTAGTCTTTGTATAAAGAGAATGTTCATGTGGGCATCTTAAATACCCATTGTCATGGAAATATTTGTCAATTCTGCTATTCCACGTCCTTGGAGCCTGTTTCAACCCATACAGTGCCTTCTTCAACTTTAGAACTTTATCCTCTTGTCCTTTCACCACATAACCAAGAGGTTGTTCTAAATATACTTCTTCTTCAAGATATCCATTCAGAAATGCCGATTTGACATCCATCTGAAAAATCTTCCATTTATTTTGAGCCGCAAGTGCAATAATCAATCTTATAGTCTTCAAACGAGCAACATGAGCAAATACTTCATCGTAATCAATGCCTTTTCTCTGAGAGTAGCCTTTCGCAACTAATCTCGCTTTATGTCTTTCCACTTCTCCTCTTTCGTTTCTCTTTGTCTTGTACCACCATTTGACACCTACTGCTTTCTTTCCACTTGGAAGAGTAGAAAGCTTCCATGTGTCGTTCTTCTTTATAGCATTTATCTCGTCATCTATTGCGGTCTTCCATTTTTCATCTTGTACAACTTTTTCAAAATTTAAAGGTTCACTGTCACCAAATAGACAAAAGAGAGTTAGATCATTAAAACCTTCATTTAACTCTTCAGTTTCATCATATATGTCCCGCAAACTTCTCATGCGATGAACCTCTTCACTTGAACTTGATGTAGATGATGAAGGCATGGTTTCTACTGGCGTGACCGGTGATGGAAGTGGTGTTGATGGAGAAGCAATATCACCAGTTTCATCATTATCTTCTGGAAAAAATAGATACTTGTAGTCTTTTGGTTTATCACTCCAATTCCATGCAGCTTCTTCATCAAACACGACATCTCTGCTTACCACCATCTTCTCTGTAGCAGGATTATAAAGCTTGTAGCCTTTGAAGCTTGCATCGTAGCCAACAAAAATATGTTTCTCACTTTTATCATCGAGCTTACTGCGCTTCTGATCTGGTACATGGGCATAGGCAATACTCCCAAAAACTCTCAAATGAGAAATAGATGGTTTTCTTCCGGTCCATGCTTCTTGCAGAGTTTTATTCCATACACTTCTAGTGGGAGAATGATTGGTCAAATAAATAGCACATTCAACAGCTTGTGCCCAAAACTCTTTTGGCATCTTCTTACTCTTTAACATGCTCCGAGCCATGTTAAGTATAGTTCTATTCTTCCTCTCGACAACACCATTTTGTTGTGGAGTCCATGGAACTGTCATAGGCCGACGAATTCCATTTTCTGAACAAAAATCTTTGAATTCATTCGAAGTGAATTCTCCTCCCCTGTCAGATCTCAAAGCTTTTATATAAAGACCACTTTCTTTTTCAACAAGAGCTTTGAATCTCTTGAACATGCCAAATACTTCTGATTTCTCCTTAACAAAATAAACCCAAGTTTTTCGACTGAAATCATCAATGAATAATAAGAAATAATTATTCTTACCAAAAGAACTTGGCTTGATAGGACCACAAAGATCAGTGTAAACAAGCTCTAGCAGTCTCTTTGCTCTCGAAGAAGATTCTTGTGGAAAACTCTTTCTTGATTGCTTGGTGTTGTGGGCATGCTTGTCCAGGGTGTGTTACCCATGGCCGCATGTCCAAACCATCCTCACCACTCGCTTTCCTTTCATGTCTTTAAAGCTTTCTAGTGTAATTTTCTTGTATCGGGTTTTTGGGGTTGTAGGT